ACACGAGCGTTGAGTGCCATTCTGTGAGAGAGTGGAGTGAAACACGTAAGGGAGTGTTGAGAGGTCCTTTTATTTTCTGTTTCTAACATTCCTTGCAGGTTTCAATCATGTCAAGTGGTGATGACAAAAAACACCAAGTGGATTATTCCTTCATGCTCAAAGCTATGCAACAACAATTTCAGAGGCTAGACATCATGTTTGGTGAAATTAAAGACAAAATGGAGAAGAAAGATGCAACCATTGCCAAGTTATACCAAATACAGAATGGAAGTCCAAATTTGCATAATCACGATCTTAATGAAAATGATGAAGACGTATTCAACGATGATGCCTAGAACTCAAATTTCGGCATAGACGGATTTATGAGAAGTAGAGGGGGTCAAAGATATAGATTTAACAAAGGAGACCGAAATCTGACAAGGTGGGGAGATCGGCAAGATCATGACTTAGGCAGCATCAAGATGAAGATTCCTCCATTCCAAGGAAAAAATGATCCAGATGTGTATTTGGAGTGGGAAAAGAAGGTGGAATATGTCGTTGATGGAGAACTGCTTGTCACTAGGCGAGCTTTGAATGTGCAAGCCAAAAAAGATGATGAAGTACAACGTGACCATATATTTCACACGAGGTGCCATGTCAAAAACAAGGTATGTAGTGTGATTATTGATGGTGGTAGTTGTACTAATGTAGCTAGCACTGTTTTGGTAGAAAAGCTTAATTTACCGATGATGAAGCATCCAAGGCCATATAAGCTGCAATGGTTAAATGATTGTGGAGAAATTAAGGTAAATAAGCAAGTTCTGGTTTCATTCTCTATCGGACGATATAAGGATGAGGTACTATGCGACATCGTTCCCATGCATGCTGGACATTTACTTTTGGGGAAACCATGGCAATATGATAGGAGAGTAACACATGATGGCTTCAAAAATCGCTATTCATTCATCATGGAAGGGAAAACAATTACTCTTGCACCATTGAGTCTAAGGCAGGTTTATGAGGATCAACTGAGAGTAAAAAAAGAGAGTGAGCTTGAGGGTACAAAAAACAAAGAGAAAACAGCAGAAAAAGAGTCCAAAAAGAAAGAAAAGATTGAGAGTGTTGAAAACAAAGAGAGAAAATCAGTGAGTGTTTATGCAAAAGAAAGTGATGTCAAGGCTACGTTCTTTGCAAACCAGCCTATGTTTGTGCTTCTGTATAAAGATGCTTTTGTCAACACTAACAAACTTAATGATTCTTTGCCTAGTGTTGTTAAATCTATTTCGCAGGACTTCAAGGATGTGTTTCCAGATGTCGTTCCTAATGGTTTACCACCAATAAGAGGAATCGAGCATCAAATTGACTTCATTCCTGGTGCAACAATTCCAAACCGACCAGCATATCGAAGCAATCCCAATGAGACGAAAGAACTTCAAAGGCAGGTCAAAGAACTCATAAAAAAGGGACATGTGAGAGAAAGCATAAGTCCATGTGCAGTTCTAGTGCTACTTGTGCCTAAGAAGGATGGGACTTGGCGTATGTGTCACGCCCCAGAACCCAATTCCGGGGACGTGGCAGACACCGTGCATTCGTGAGACGGGTCCCACAAATGCACAAGGCTTGGAACTTATCATATCACACTCTGATACCACCAAAATCTGAAGATCAAATTATAAAATCTCTCTGATATCATAAAATCTCCAAATACAAGATCATGATTCATATCTAAAATTTATGCCCAATTACAATATGGCTAGCCTTCTAACTCGTCACTCCCCGTGGTTTCCCCATCCTCAGTTTCACATCCTGAAATGGTGGACAAGGAAAAACTATGAGATAAACTCAGTAAGTAAATATGGAGTGCCCTTATTAAACTTATAGCATGCCAACAAGTACAATCACGAAAAACGGATACAGTGCAGGAACGAAATAGACGTCTCTTCTATAGGTCATGGCCAGTGTTTAAACCTCCCACTGGCAGGCAACAGGAATTGCTAGTGTTTAACTCCCACTAGCAGGATTACAGGAATGAACCGGTTCTATCAGGAACATGTCGACATGTGCTAGCATTTGACCTCCCACTAGCGGGCAACAGGATAACAAAACAGGCAGAAGTTAACAGAAAAATCACGATTCACAATCACTTTCAAATCATCAGGACAGTCACTTAAATTTCAAGTAGGCATGCTCAATTTCATGAAAAGCACAAAACATTTCACTTCAAATCAGTCATACTTGTGTAAAACGGGTTTAGTCCCGCCACCACTTCAAAAACAAATCAAAACATGCTTTTAAAACAGTACGGACGCTACCATAAATTTACTTACCTCACTTGCATAAAACCGAGCACTCAATTCACGTACTAACTGACAGAACGATCGGGAACCTAATCAAAACACCTCAGAATTAATACCGGACTATCACAAATTCAAGGTAAACTCATCATTAGGATCATTCCTAATCACAATGCTATTTCCATCACTTTCCACATGATCGGACATCTCCAATTTCGTTCTCATATCACAAACTAATCATTTAAATTCCCGTTAAATGTTGGCCCTTGGGGTGTGAACAGTAACAGGTGAACAGTGTGGGTGAACAGTGACCCCGATGTGAACAGTAACCTCGACTTTCACAAATTGGCCAAAACACTAGCTAATCACGGGGTTTTCTCTCCAAAAATCACAACAAGCAATTAACACTCAATCACATAAATCTCACTTAAATTAATGCTTAAATCTCATCTTAAAGCTACCGAAATTATCCCCATTTTCTGCAGAATTTCAGACACACAAGGCAGCAAACAAAATGGACAAATTAAGCCTAAAAAGGCTGCCACTTACCAGAATTTTCCAGCAAGCAAAACCGGGCTTGGCTGGTGAGGGAGAAGCCGGCAGCAATTTGGGGAGAAACTCACGGCCTACCTCAAAAATTGGAGAACCAAGAGGAAATTAAGGTAACCCAGCTTAAATCAAGAAGAATAGAGGGAAATCATGGCTGTTTCTTACCTAAAAATGCCCAGAATTCGCACCCACAACAAGAGCAGCCGGCGGACAGCAGAGGGAAGAGCAGAGCAGATCCGGAAGCTTCCTGTAGGGGGGAGAATTTCTGGGTTCCAAATCAGGTTCTTGAACAAGAAAAGAAGGCCAAAACCAAGCTTATCTCACCGGTTTCTCAAAGGCATGGCTGGGTTCCCCTTTTTTTTTTCTCTCGGGTGCAGGGGGGTCGAGAAGAGCAAAACATGCGGGCTGGAGAAGAAAGAAAGAAGGAAAAAGGAGAAAAAGAAAAGAAGTCATCCTTATCCAAAATCTTTCCCTCTTTAAGTCCCTCAACTTTCAAAATGTTGGCCATCAAGCCCCAAAACAATCTTTTCTCACAATCAAGTCCCTAACTTAAATGATAAAATTCTCTAAAATTTGGGATATTACAGTATGTGCGTTGATTGTCGCGCGGTCAACAAAATCACTGTAAAGTATCGTCACCCTATTCCTAGATTAGATGACATGTTAGATGAGTTGCGTGGTTCTTGCATATTCTCTAAAATTGATTTAAAGAGTGGATATCATCAGATTAGGATGAAGGAAGGTGATGAATGGAAAACAGCCTTTAAAATGAAACATGGTTTATATGAGTGGTTAGTTATGCCATTTGGATTAACTAATGCACCTAGTACATTCATGCGATTAATGAATCATGTTTTGC